CTCATTGTGCAGACACCTCAACTTCACAAATTTTACAGCAGTTCCATGACTTTTTGTTACTGCTGACACATGGTCAATAGCAGGGCAGCACTTTACTGTACATGCAATACATGAACAGGTGCCATTGTTACATCTGTATTTTGAAAAGTTCGCTTTGGTACTGTATCAGTTACATATCACAACCTGTAATACTCTGCCCCAGGCATAGTCTTTCCCAATATTTCATTGTTTGGAAAGATCTAAAAACCTGAATTCCTCCCAGAAATACTGCTTTGGGGAGCTGTAATATTTATTTAGTGCTCTCACACCGTAACTTTATGTGCACTAGCTGTATTTCCCATGTTGCCAAGTGGATCGTTTCTTAATATTTTGTTCCAAACAAAGTTGAGAATTCTTAATCACCACTCTGGGGCCATCCACTTGGAGTTGGCAGAGGATGACGTATTCTCTAGTGGTCAGTAAATTGTCTAGTTTTCCATTCCTGGCAGTTAACATAGTATCCTATGTTAACCAACACAAGTCTATACCGGGGGCTGCAACAGATGTGATTTTAAGATTGACATACATTTCGGCATTCTATCTGTGGCATGTTTGAAAAAAAAGATGATTCATTCCATGAGCGGCACGATTTAGCAAAACACATGTAACAAATGTAATCAAATGTAAAAGACACATTTGTTTCTCTCATGGCTACTAATTTCAGGGGAAATCAGAGTTTTCTGAAGAGATGACAACGTAAAACCATTTGACAGTGTGCCTTGACTTCCAAAAAGGCTTTTGATAAACCAGCATACAAAAGATTCCTTTACAGATTGATATCAGTGGGTATCAGAAGTGGCCATAGACCAGTAACTAGCTGAAGGGAAGGAAACAGTAATTATAAAGGGAGCTGGGATGAAATAGGACGAACAAAGTATTGAGCGCGATATCTTCAGGGATCTATGCTGGAATTCTTCCTGTTTCTAGTATAATTACCCTGGATTCTTTCAACAACAACTTGCAGTTGTGTAAGGCAGGAAAATGTCTCAAAAGTACTTCAAGGTGGAGTGTGGTCCCAAGCAGGCTGAAAGATAAGCACATTGGACCCATCCAGGCGATTTATGTGCTCCATAAATGGAAAAGAAATTGTGAAGGAGGAAGCTGAAAGTGATTTATTGGCATTAGTTTATTCATCAATAGCCGTGTCCAACCAATGCGAGGCAATAATAACAAAGTGAATAGGATGCTGGGCTACATTACTGAATCATTGGACTTCAAATACCCAAACGTTAAAGTTGTCCAGTGCTCCGTTCCTATTTTTGAGGGTTTTTTTAAACTAAAAAGCCCATATCATGTTAAACAGCAATTGAGGTCCAACACTGACTCAGTCAAATGAGACAGATGTGGGGATATGGGGCAGATGTGGTGAACATTCTTCTGGGTTATCTTTAGGATCTGGAGAGCATTTGTACAGAAGTTTACACCAGGAGATGGAATAGTTGAGCTGAAGTCAGCAATAGGGTACATTTTCTTTGATCTGTGGAGGGTAGGTCTTGATAAGGCTTTTTTGTTTATTTCCATACTTTTTAAAAATATATTATTGTAATTTAGCCAACTTAAAGACTTAGAAATCTCAATTAATACTAAGCAGAACCATGTTTCTGATATGTTTCAATGTGAAAAAGAATGTAATGCAAAATTCTGAATCTAATTGTCAGCCCTGTGGTATTGCGGTTCTGAGGCTCAATTATTAAGATATCACAAAGGCTAATGAGAGCCATTACAGCCATACTTTAGACAGATTAAATGCTGCACTGGGAGATTTGGTGCAGTGCAATGAGAAGTGGCGTCAGATGAAACACTGCTCCAAATCTGATTCCCCTTTTGAAAACAGAACTAAATGTACAGGGTCAGGTCTTGACCTCCATAATATGACCTTGTTTTCAGTTTTCTTTCTTACATAGAGAACATTTTGAGCGTCTACAGGCAATGTAATTTGAGCAAATTGTTGCTGATGAATACATATTGGAAGGAAAAAAGTAGGGAACTTTACAACGAATTCACAATATCGGATCTCTTTTTCCACCCCCGCCACCGGCAATGAAGTGGCTGTAGCTGACACATCATTACGGTTTGAGATGAAACACATTTTTTTCTGGTTGTAGGCTCACTAAATGTTTCATGGAAAGGGTGATAGACTGGTGAAATACTACCAAGAAAAGCCATTGAAGCAGACTGTAAAATGGGTTCATAAGACAACTAGATGTGTTGCAGGAAAGAGACGAGATTGAGGAATATGGTAAGTAGGCAGGTAGAGATGGAGAACTATTAAAACGCCATTGTTGGACAGACAATAGAGATACTGCTTGACTGTATTTGCAGAAATTATACTTCACTCACCATAATTTAGAAGTACTTTTTGCTGGGATTGGGTGGAGAGAGAAAATCTGTCACAATTATTAGCAAAAGCAAAAAGCAATGTGCGATTTCTATGAACAAGGCACAAAGTTGACATTAAAATGATTGTAACACTTGTGATTTTTTGGAACAAGAGTTCCACTGGCAACAATCTGGTTCCATGGCACCACTCAAAAAAGTCTTTTCCAGTACCCAGGCCAAAAATCCCCCCAGATTAAAAATAGATTGGATCACTTATGGCTGTCTATGGGACATTGCTATTCACAAAGCTGCTTGCCAAGTTCACCTGCAAATAAAGTTACTACACAGTACAGAAAAGCTCAAGCACTTTGAGATGCTTCACTATGATAAGGCCCTACATCAAATGCAAGAATGATTTATTCAGATCATGACAACTGAATTCATTCTACATTTCACTATTAACAGGTTTATAACTCCAATCCACCTAATCATACTGTAAACTGTAGGTACTCCATACAAACAGACTGAAATCAGATTACTGCAATGTCCAAGAACGTATTTTGCCGTTTTGTTTACTAAATGTCAGATCTGATGCAACACTGGAGGCCTGAGGACAGCTGCAGTAAGAGTTCTAATGGGCAGGAAGGAAACCTACACCAGTGATTATTTATGAATGTTAAGACCTCTCCAGATTGTCGCTTAAAGGGAGAAACATGATAAGCTTAGTGTAGGCAGAATCCTGTTATTGGGAAGCCAGAGCCTTCCAGATGTGATCCCTGCACTAAAAAATTACTGCAGACTTCAGATTAACTTGGTAAGGTTTAGGGTTTTTGTACCTTGTCACAGAGCTTGTTTTTGACCTGTTGGCCAGTACTGCTACGTTGATCAGCAGTGTTTCTTCCCTCAATCATTATACTTCATAGAAAATGATTTTAGCAAACTAGAATTTAAAAACGGTGACTGGATTCACTAAAATATCTAGATTGGGTAATTAAGTAATTGTGTGGCTTTAGGCACTGAGGTTACTTCTGGTATCAGTGCTTTTATTTTCAATTTTGGCCAACTGACCTGTATACTCACCTCTTCTCGTTGACACATCAGGCAGTGGGATTCTATGCTCAGTGTGTTAGGTGAAAATTTGTGCTGCTGCACTCCCATCTGTGAAATTGCCTTTTTTTTAAAAAGACACTGGACTTTTTTTTTAGATCCAAGACTCAAAAAAATAAAAATAAACAGAAAATAATTGGTATTAATCAGCAAAATAATTATCGTTCTTCTCCCTCAGCTCCTGGATGCGATGGCTTCTGAACTGGATGCATTCAGACAGCCTCATGTTTGCATGTTATTTATATAAAACCATTTTTTTTGTTTCCGTTGACTTTGAAATTGGAATTGCAAATGAACAGGATTATTTTTCACAGCGATAATTTATGCAGGAATGTTGAGGTTTTGCATTGTTGTGTGTGATATAAATAATTTCTATTCTACAATTGGCAGCATTGTTGGTATTGAAGGGAACTGGGATCCAAATGTAATAAAAAAAAGTGTTAATTTCACCAGCACAAATCAATATAAATTGTAGTCTTAAAAACAATGTTTCCTGTGTGACGTAAACCTTTTGTCTATTTATTTGACTTTGCTGTGACATAATCATCAACATTTTTCATTTAAATTATCTCAGGGAATCAACCCACAAAAAATCGATCAGTGTTACTAACAACTTTCAATAAAACGATTTTAAAACTGTCAGTTTTTAAAACTATACTTCAGCAGTAGATTGAACTCCAGTCAGAGCACAGGATTTTTTTTAGAAAGCACTGTGGTTTCTTGCAGATAGAATTAACTGGACTAAGACTTAATCGACTCACACATCAGCTACACTGCATAACGCCCATGTGTGTAGATGCTTCTTAAGCATCTAAACCATGGAGTCCTGTAGCTTAGCGGTTAGAGCAGTTGCCTCGCAAGTGAGAGGACCTGGGTTTGATTCCTCGGCAAGGCGAAACATTTCCTTACTCCACACCTCTCTGTTTAGCCAGCAGTAAGTAGCAACCCAGTTGTTAGTCAATTGGCAGATCGCTTTTCTGGGGGTAATAATCCCTTCAAAATTAAAAAAAAATTGGTCACTCAATCCACAATTGTTTGTGGCACCCTATTGTGCATAATTGGCTGCTGCGTTTCGTCCAAAAATGCAGTCAATACACTTTACGATATATTCTGTGAATTGCTTTGAGACATCTCAAATACACGATAAGGCGCTATAACAAATGCATGGATTATTATTATTAAGGCATTCTGTTCACGGTCTATAGTTCTGACTCCAGTGTGGTATTACATTTACCCGAGATTGAAATGATTCATGTAAGCAAAAAGTGACTCGAATGAGATCCGTTTTTCTGGACTGAACTTGCAGTCAGTGAATTGAGACCGAAGTCAACTCAATTCTTGTTTTAAACAACTGCCTCATTTTCTTTATGTACACACAGTTATTCTAACAGCTGGACAGAATGCATGAAGCACATTTTTGACAAGAAGCCAAGCAAAGTGAAGTCACTTTAAGAGACATTGCCTCTCTCATGGAATAAAGCTGTGCAACCACAAAGAACTTATTTGATTTGATTCTACAATTATCTTTTTTTCAGGTCACACACAGATTCTAACCTATGTTGAAGATGCATTGATACAATTGTTAGAACACAAGGAGGAGTACAGTAGAGCTGGGATTTCTAGATTCTTTGCTGAATAGTAAGTATATAAATTATTTGTTAAGCATTTTTCCACTGCCACTGTAAAATACTCTGCTCATACTATTATTAGTTCGTGTAATGCCCATAAGACAATTTCACAAATTAGATCAACTGTTGATGAGGTGAATCATTTTGAAGTATGCTTTTTTTTCATCATTTAATCAACCAATATCAAATACTATCAAAGACCTCACTGATGATAAAATTCTGATACAGGGTCATTAGAAACTGATTTTCCTATTACACTACTCAAGTGTGACAGCAGGATTATCAACTAGGTGATAGTATACAAGTACCATGCGGTATTTTGATCCTAATCATTATCCAGTGATAGCCTGCTGGAAAGATCCCTTGTGTGGATTTGTGGTGAAGATAGGAACAGGCTCAACTGTAATAGAACCTTGCACGAGTCGGTACCTTTGGGAAAAGGGGGATTTAAAATGTTGTCAAATTGTCGGTATGAGAAGTTGTTTTCATGTTGTAAAATTAATGGAGCAAAAAGCAAAGTTATCTTTAAAGTTGCAAATTGCAACTTTGTTAATGTCCACCAGACCTTTCCCGAAGTCCGGGAATGATCTGTACGAGAAAATGATCAGGGAAGCACATTGTTGACCTATTGGAGTTAGGCTGAGCATTCAGCCCATCTACAATCAGAAAAAATAACATAGGTGAACATCAATATTGCCTCTGTGTTGCTTTTTGAGTTGCAGGTGGAAACACTTCATTTAGTTAGCTGTCAGCACCTCTGGTTGAGGGCTATCTCATTTATCTTACAATGCTTCTGCTACTACTGCAATCATGGCATGGCTGTGAGGTAAATGTGGTCTAAAATTACTTGATTCTTTTGGGAGTGTTACAATGTGATTATGTAGCTCTGATTTTTGGTACCAAATATGCTACCAGTGGATTATTTTAAAAAAAACAAGTTATAACTAGATAACCAGGTGAAAACAGCTGGCAGACACTTGGGATGGGAATCCCAAAAATGCCCTGTTTAACTGCACTGTTTATTGAAGTCACTTGAACATAAATGAAAACTGTATGGAAGAATGGGCTTCAGTTTATATACATCTGTGAGTAAGTATACAGGAACCCTAGCAAGCAGAATGATAAATGTTAGCTTACCGCACTGTTTATTAAACAGTCGATGTCCTTGGCTAAACAAGTTTGTAGAAGGGACATGCCTTTGAAAGGAAATGAGCTGATAACCTCTAATTTATAATAGAATTAATGGACCCTTTAAACTGCATACAGCTGTTGAGTGGTATATTATTGTGCCCAGTGACCTGAGTAAGCTGCAGGACATAGGGTCTGTGTAACTCAATAAAGTATAACCACATAGAGCATTTGATCACGTACCCTTAAAATTATATTAACTCTTTTCTTTTCAGGTAATGTTGATAAGTGGAATGGAGAGCTTCAGATTGTAATTATGTGAAATAAGATTGAGATTAAAGTTCTAGCCTTCAAGTCAGTCCTGATATCTGGGTTGTGTTCATACTCGTTTTGCTCTGCAGTTACTTTATTAAAAAACAAACAATTTTAAAATGGATTAAGGGTAACAGGAATAGAAATAGCTCTGTGCAATGACCATAGGAGCTAGTGACATGAGGAACATAGGGAGGAATGCAGTAATAATTGATCTTGCAGAAATTACGGAAAGAACAGATTTGATTCGCTAAGAAGTTGCCCACAAAACACAGTCACTCCACTTCACAGCAAATCCTGTGAAGTGCTTTGGGGCATCCTACTGATGTGAAAGGAGATATACCAAATGAAAGGATTATTATTAATTTAAGATTTTAATGCAAAACCATTCTTATTTAAAGAGATGACATGATAAGGTTAAAACTTGTTTCAAAATACAGGTTGGCTTCTTAAGTCACAATTTAAGAAGAGAATGGTGCATATAATCCAATAATGAGGTTGCAGAAGAAAGAAGTTCTTTGCATCTCTCAGTGTTCTTTGTTTTGCTCTGTCAATGTAGCCCTGTATGCTTTAGGAAGTAATCCTGATTAAGAGGAAACAATTTCATGGACCAACAGATCTTGCCATTGTTCCAGCAGCCAGGAGGTGAAAGGTTAAACAGTAGTAATTAGGCTGCCCAAGTTGGAAAGGGCAAGTTTTTATAGCATTGCATGCCATTCCTCCCGACACAAGGGAAAAGGGCGTTGAGGTTTAATTGATGTATTGTTCTAATGTGCTGGATAAAATATTGTAAATGAATATAGAAAACTAGCTGCTTTAATATACATTGATTAGGTCTCCTCAATTTAAAAGGTGCTTTTTATTTGAAATAATAGTTCTTAATCCGCTGGGTAACGTAACATGATGATTGATACAGCGTCCTCTATGGATCAATCTTAATAATGTACCCAACAACATGTCATGTCATCTACCTGAGAATCATGCCATATTCTGATAAGTTAACTTGACCACATAGAATCTGAGGTTGATGATGCTACATTACTTGGCAACTGGAAATTATACTTCTCTTTGCAAAATGTTATCACCCGAGGCTGCATTAAACTGAAGTTGTACTGCAGCCATTCACATTGATTTGATATCAAAACCTGCTTCTAGAGGTGGTTTCAGAACATGGTTCAAAATCAAGTTATCCTTTCCAATTGTATAATCAGGCCATTAGGGGCCACACCTGGTGGTTCTTGCTCAAAATATCTGCTAATATCAAAATGTGATTAAAATTTATTTTAAAAAAGCACAAACAATTAGGATTTTAAGAATTAAGGAACCACTTATCTGGAAACTGCCCAATTAATGGTTCTCTAATACACTGTTAGTGAATGTAAAGTATTCAGATGCACAGTATAATCTTTCATTCAACGCTTTTACCTTTGTAGAAATATTTATGTGAAGATAGTGTAATACTAACTGATAAGGTAAGCCATTTTATGCTGCTTTAAGAGCCTTCAGTTAAACCTTTTTGCCTTTTAGCTACATAAATTTCAGCTAAATGTTTTGAGTCCTCCACTATGAAGTAATATATCATATCTGACTCCCATTAGCATGGATGAACTATAGATTATTACTTGATAAATCTTCAATGATAATGTCATAATTGTTAATCCTTTAATGTGATCACCATCAAACATCAACTGGAGGATTGGTGAATAAAGCAGGAAAAAAGGATGGATGAATTGTGAATTGTGTCTGGGTTGCATTGCAACTCAATCCCTGGGGGCAATATGTAGTCAGGTCAAATTTAATTGTGGACAGCGGATTCATTGGTTTCAGAATTTGTGACATCATCTGAATCCCTCAATGAGGTTACCACCTTGCAATCGCATATCTCCATTTTGCGCTATTTGGAATTGGTGTGTTTTATAGCAATTATAGCAATCAAGTAGCATCCTAAGAATATGGAGGACTGCATCCATTTCTGTCGCCCGCACATTTATAGACCTGATTCTCATTGCCTTCTGTTAATAAACATAACACTTGTACTCTGCACACAAGCCGGGTTTAAGAGCACCATGCAGCTCCACCCAGACAGTTCACATTTCAGTTGCCAGTTGCCCCCACACAGGTGCATAATTTGGTAGTTACGTCATGCGCATTCCATAGACAGGACATAAGCAGCTGTGACATTGTTTCTGTCGGCAGAATTACAAACCTTTTTGGTGGGACTCAGCACAGCGAGGACAGTCTCCATTACCCAAATACACTCACTGTGAAGCAGTTCAATACACAATATTCTATTCATTTTTCAAGAATTTTCATATTGCAGAGTGCCATTTCCATAATGCATTTCTTACAACTTCTGTTAGGACTATAATTAACAGTTTGAAATCTTCATTCAGGAAGCAAAATTTCCTGTACAGCATAGTCTCACTTCAAGCCCCTGCAGAGTACTTACATGGTGAGAATCAATTTGAATCAAAACATCAGTAAACTCACAACAAATGGGAATTTACAGCTGCCTGGATTACAGGGATCTATTTCTGTTCCGCTGAATTAGCAGTTGGCGAAACCATAAGCTTTATAAAATCTAACTGTACTGGGCAAATACATCAGACACACAGCAGATTCTCTCTGGATCATTGCGTTTGGGATCCAGGCAAATATGTGTCACAGCGAGGATTTGAGGTGTGGAGAGAATGCTTCACATAGTTTAGGCATTAATGTGAAGGCCTTAAATAATGTGGGTTTATCTGTGTTTGTACCAAAGGATTATTGTAAAGAAGTAGCAGAATGCCTCAGCATCTCCACTAGGTTTTTCATGGCCAAAAAAAAACATGCTTTGAGAAAAAGAGGATCCAGCCAGAGAAAATCTTATTTTGGTGGTAATTCCTCCCTTAGGTGAAGGGAGGGATTTGGTATGTGATAATTGTCTCGAAATGCTTTGTGTTCCCTTGCTTTGGCTTTTTGTGGGTGTTAATGCGATCTCCGGAAAAGCTTGGACTGTTTCTAATTGTGACAACTACTTTATGACATTTCCAACAGAAAATACGCACAGTTTCCCACACTTAGTCACATGAAACTCGCTGTCAAGCCTCTGCAAGCACTACTCTGTAACTTGCTGTAGATAGTTTTCATTTGTGGGGTTTTTTTACACAAGGCTGGACAAGCTAGCAATTTCAAAGCCACATTGCTAACTTTCAGAACAGACTGATAGATCTATGTATCGTGGCAAGCATATCAGCAACACTCGGGTACATTAATTACCTTGGTGTCTTGTTAATTCCTTAAGTGGTGTTGGTGGAGGAGAAACAATTTTAGAGAGGAGACTGACTCCTGAAACAGCCGTGCATTCCCCCGTTTATGTTCATGACTGCTACCATCAGCGGGGCTGCAAGCTAACCTGGCATGTTAATTTAGCTGATTATTACCAGTTGCAGGTGAGAATGTTTATTCTGCTTCCTTTGTTGACGAGGCAAGACTTTTTGATTGTCAGTTGCCCTTCAATTTTCTTAAAGGAATGTTGCATTAAGAGAAATCCCCATGAAGATATTTTCCCTCCTGATCCACACTACCAAT